ATTTGTCTCTTTTTTGCTTGAGTATTGTGTGGGTGATGTGTATCTAATGCTTGCGGTGGTAAGCTTGGTGTCTGAGACATGTTCTGTTAGTTAATACGAATGTAAAAACATGGAAAATATAAAAGTAAACATGAAATATATAAAATGCAAAGTATGCAATGTATGATGTATGCAATTTGGAGGCATTGATCCAGCAAAGTGTCCATTATTATAAATAATCCTTATTCAGACAAAAATGTTTTATCTTTTAAGAGACATAAAAACAAATTAAAGGTACATTCGGACTAAATCCTCTAGACCTCAAACAGCTTCTAATAGGTTGGCAAGTCTTCTGCCTTAATCTGTCACTGGTTGAATGCCTTGTCAAACCACTCCAGCTTCCCTTGCGAGGCCATGAAGATGACGGGCTACTTTTTTTTACTTGATCCAGGAAATCTCGGATGGTTGCGTCTCTGGCCCTCACCATTCACTATGGTTGCTCCCAATGAAAACGCCAATGTAATCCTCCGTTGAAGGGCACTATCTGAAGCTCATTTGCTTGCCTCTTGAACCCATCTACAATAGCTTCTAACTCAGCTATTGTCTTGTCATCTTTCTCATGTTGCTTCTCTAAGTCAGCCACCCGGATTCTCAAGCGTTCGTTCTGTTGTTGACTGTCTGCCAAGCGCCTTTGAGCAGTCTTCAGCTGTTCTTTCCAAGCCCTTTCATCAGGTCCCTCGAACTTCCTTTTCAGAATGTGAGCTTCATCTTTCTAGTATTCAAAGGTTACTTTCAACTTGGAGTTATCCTTGAATTTATCTTGATACCCCTTTCTCAAATCTTCGAGCTCATAATAGACTCTTTTCTGTTCTCTTTCTAGTTTGTCTGCTATGTAGTTCTGAGAGTCGGCATCTAGCTTCTATTGTTAACATTCAGCTTCAAGTTCCTTAACCCTCTGCTTCAGCTCGTTATTCACAGCTTCAAACTCTACCTTGGCTATCTCAAGTCCAGAAGGGATAGGCCTGAGATGTTCCTCCATAGTCCGGGTGTCTTCACAGTCTGGCACCGGGACGTTATCATTCTTTCTCAATCTTCGTCACTCCACATAATCCGGAGTAAGCATGTCTCTGACAGCTACAACATCCATCCGGAATACTTTCTTCCATGAATCGTCTGCTTCCTTGATCATCTTCTAATAACTATCACTGCTATACACAAACTCTGATTTAATTAGTCCGCATGTTGTGGGGACAAACTGACGTGCCCCATGCTGTCTCAGTGCCAACAACGGAGCATACCCAACTACACCCCAAAGTCCAAGTAAGGTCATAGTATCAGAATCCCCACACCGGAAAAGAACATCACCGAGGAACAACCAGGGGGCTCTCCAGGTAATGTCCCGATTCTGAAGATGTGTAAAGACTTTCATACATTTTTCCTTTGTAGCGCCTTCATGCCACTTCATAGTGATGAACTCTCCCAAAGGTGAATAGGTGGTACTAAATCGGTGGTAAACAACCCTGTTAGTCTTCCATAAGTGGTTGTGAATCAAGACTTGAATGAGCTGAACACACCCAACGAACCTGCCTCCACCAGCTCTTCTTAAATGATTAAGAGATCGAAAGGTCTCGGCTAAAATGGCCGGTGTTGCGTTGACTCGCCTTGGAAGTTGTTCAAATAGTTCTACCACGGCTGCGTCGATGCACCCTAAAGTCTTCGGAAAGATAACCAAACCGTACAGACCTAGTGCAAAAAGGTTTATAGTTTTCCATTCATCAGGGTGGTTCTTCATTAGTTGCCTTATGTGAATCCACTCAATTCCTTCCCCGTTACCTTTATGTCGGAGTCAATCAGTCACCCATTTTTCATCAACCCCTGCAATCTTAGCCACCCCATTTTTGAAAGGCTGACTCTTGATGTGTTTGATATATGCCCTCTCTAGTCTGATGCTTTCGTAGTGCAGTAGGGTAGTGTATTCTTCAATGGTGGGTACCATGTCCTCCCGATTAAAAGTGAAGCAACTATATCCCAAGTTCCAGAATTGAACCAGTGCTCTGATTAAAGGCTCAACAGTCTTAACTTGGAGTAAAAGTGCAATGTCACCGTACCGTTGGCTGAACTTCTATTTCCGATCATTCTTCCAACTGTCCCAAATGTTTCGCAGCTCTTGGACATCATTCTATTTCAGGCTGACAGAGGCGTAACTAACCAGCACTGACACATAATTCCCCTGAAGACTGTCTCCCTTCTCTTTCTGAGTCTTCTCGGACGATAGTCGTGCCTCGGTGTTTTTAATCTCTTGTATTACAACACTTTTGTCCATTAATTCGGACTATTTTGTGTTTAACAAATGCTTTTTAGGGATCAATAGCCTCTCGTTATGATGCAAATGCTAAAAAACAAACACAAAGGCAAAAAAGTTAGTAAAATAAAATAAATAAATAAAAAATGACGAAAGAAAAAAAACCACAAAAAAATGGTTAGGGTAAAAATATCCTAGGTTTTAGAATATGGTTTTGGGGTAGGGTCTAATTCTGCATGGTCTCCCGGTTTAGGTTCTAAAAAACGGTACTCGAGTTCTCCTTATCGGTGCCCCCTTGGGCTTGCTAGACCCCTAGTCCTAAACCTATCACAGGCTTGTGTGGACTAAGTTAAACTCGAGAGGACACATTCCCTTATGCCCGCACAGTGAATAAATTCACACGAAAGTTTCACTTTTACCCCCACTTAAAACAGGGTTTGGATCTCAGGTATAGAGCCTTAGAGGAAAAAATGAGTTTGGAAGGCTGAAATCATTAGAAAACAGTTAGTACAACTATTTATTTGAAAAATATAATCAAAAGTAAGCAATAAGGATCGAAATGTTACCTTAAAATTTAAACTTACCCTTTTCGTTAAAAAGACAACTGGAAATTACCTTAGACTGACTCACTTACCTGTGTCCCCAGTGGAGTCGCCAAGCTGTCGGAACCGTCTTTCGGTTGGGCACCGGAATTGGGCTTCGACTTGAATGAATGGATTGGATTCCCCACCAATCATTTATTTAAAAGTAAATTGGTGACTGGATACTTTATTTCTTACCTGATCTGCGTCTTACCAGTGATGTGTCGAATTGGGAGTCGGTTACAGTCATGGAAGAGTTAGCACCCCTGAACTGCCCTTTCGGTACTATATAATTTCCAGTTATCTTTAATTAAGAAAATTTTAATTTTAAATTAAAAGGTAAAATGACGATTCGAATTACTTACATTTAACCGTTTTGAAAACGTACCCTTTAAGAATCAGGAAAAGCGTTAGAAAAACAAAGGTGACGAAGATAAATTGAAAATAAAGAAAGTAAAATAAAGAAGAGAAAAATAAATAACTAACAACATATAATAGAAACAAAAAGTAAACAACATGATTAACATAGAAATAGTGAAACTGAAATGTCAAACAAAGACAAAATATAATAAGAGAAATAAAGAAACAAAGGCAAATAAATAAAATACGAAAAAAATAAATCAAATAATAAAAATAAAAAATAAAAGTAAAATAAACAAAAACGAGGGAAAAAATAAAAAATAAATTTACATATATTTATATAAATATTAGCTTGTAGACTAAAAAAATATAGAGATATTAAGAAATAAAATAAAATATATATATATATAATATAACATATAAATAAAATAAATAAATAATAAAATACTAATAACACATGTATATAAAAATAAAATATAAAAAAGAATAATAATAACACTATAAAATATATATATATAAAGGAAAGTTAAAATTAAAATCCAGAAAAAGGATTAAATTGTAAAAACAGAAGATAGTGTGACCAATTTTGAAGTATTTCTGGGATGAAATCGAATTTTGGTGAGCAAAATAGACCCTTTAAAAAAATAAGGGAGCAAAATGCAGTTTACCCTTTTTCTCTAAAAAACGCACGGGTCTGACGCAGTCACGGGTCCGGTCACAGTCCAAACGGGTTAACTATAAATCCCATTTTTCTGAAAACACTCCCTCATTTTCCCATTTGATACAAAACGGATCAAAACAAGTTTTTTAAAATCCTCTGCATGTTATTCACATGTTCTTAAGGGATGAAGAACACGGTCGTGGTTCCCAGAAACCGGCCACCACGCCGCCTCACCGGCCGCCGTTAATCGGCGGCAAACCTCGAAAATATTTGATTTTTAAAAGCTTTTCCTTTCCTCTTTTAAAATATTCGAGTAATTTTTTCAAAACGGCCTCGGGGTCGCGTAGATCTAGCGAAATAGCTTCGAAAGCAACCCCTTGGTCCTCGACCAAAAATGATTTTTTTGGGGTTCAAATCGAACCAAAACGCAGGAATGACACCAAACAAAAAGAAAACAACACGCAAAGGTATGAATTTCACCTTTTTTTCCATTCTGTCGAAGTATGAATGATTCGAAAAAATATTGTTCTTGGCTGTGATTTATCTGTAATTTTTGCTTGGTATTTCGTATTTCCAATCGTAGTGTTGCAAACAAATGGATTACATGCTTATTTATACTCTAAACAATGCTATCTTTAGTTTCGAAAATCTTGAGTCCTAAGCAGATCGTGACTCTTATTTTGTTGGTTGTTGTGTTTCACATATTCACGTCGTTGGTGATGGCCGAGAAATCCAGTGATGTTGTGAGGCGTGAAGCAAATGGGGTCTTCGACGGGGAAGGCTTGCGGCACACTTAGGGTTTTTGGAAACCCTAAAATGATGAGGGTTGTGTGTTGAGTCTGGGCCACTTGGGTCACATGGGCAGCCTACGTGTAATGGGTCACGGGATTTGGGCCTCAAATATAACTTTGGACCTGTAACATTTTAAGGAGAAAAACAAAATTAATTAATACAAATACCTATATTATATAACGTAGTAAAATTTTATGGACGAAGTTAAGTGTCTTCAGTAGCACGAGATAAACATGGATTAAAAATGTCAAATGATTAAATTCTTATAGTTAAAAGAGAAGCTAGAATGCGGATGAGGCAGAACCAATTACTTCGAAAAGCTTACTTTGTCAGAAAGTGAGACTAACTGCATGAAATCAGAAGTATCCGGCCTTACATTGGAAGCATAAGATATTTCAGTACTTGCAACCTGCGAAAGAGCCAATTAAAATGTAATAAGATGCACAAATGAATAATGATAAATTGACAGTAGACAAGGGAACTTGATCTGCAAAAAAGGCAGTTGGAGAAACCTTAGTAGATAAAATTCATGCGTCAGTTTTGTCGAAGTAGTCTTCGCTTTCTTCTTCAGAGATGTCCCTCGCGTTGATCTTCTTTTCTCGTCCTCAGAGAAATCCAAAAAAATGAGGAAATGCTTTCAACTACGTCTTGTAGTTGGTGGGGCAAATAAAGGAAGTCAGAAACCTTGTGGTCCTAGCTTCCAACTACATGTTCTAATCCTCAAAAACATGGTGACTGGTGAAGCACTTTTTTTTTTTTTTTTTTTTTGGGAATTTCAGTTTGTACATTTTCACTTTCAAACAATAATTACATCCATAGACCATAGGCAACCCCTCAGCCTAACTCGAAGAAAGTGATCCAAGTTGACTTTTGATTATTTATTTGGTCAACTAGAGGCGACTTTAAACCTACTCTAACTCAATTAAAAATAAAAATATTAAAAGCTTTACATACAAACAGACACCAACTACCTATGGAGAAGGACCCTCTACTTGCTGATATTGGCATCAGACCTTCATACATATCCACACTACCTAAAAAGCAGTAACTGAAGTAACTTCTAAGCACGTATTTAAATAGCAGTCCATTATTAGAATAGTAACCATTACATGGTAAAGGTGTCGTCCGAAATTCTTACTTTACGACCGAGATATCCGTAATGATCTTAATAGAGTCTTCTATCTTCATAATTACAAATAAACGCAACACAACGAAAATACGCCGCAACCATAATTTAAATCTCTAGCTATAAGTAAAGAAAATAGTAGTCAGAAACCGGAAAACGATTTCCTTCAAGATACATTTGCCGATCATTATCATGTAATTAATCAACAGAATAGGGCTTGAAGGAAGAAGTGAGTCTTTGGGATCAGATTATGTTGGCTTGAAGGAAGAAGTGAGTCTTTGGGATCAGATTATGTTCCCAATTGTATCTTTTTCAGCCCAACCCATGAAAGCATAAGAAACAAACCTTTTGGTGAGGGTTTCCTCCCATTAGGGGTGTTTCGGTTCGGTCACCGAATTGACCACATTTTTACTAACATGATTAATTGAAGAGAAAATAACTTCAGTGACCAAAAATATCTTATAATATACGATTTTAACCAACTTTTTTTGGAAATACTATTGGGAATGGTATTTAAAGCTTGGCTTTCCCACTTCCTTGTTGAGTGATAGAGAACAAGGGTGACTCTCGCGCGCCACCGCCGCCGCCGTCTCGTCTCGTGGTCGTGGTAATACGTGTCTTCGACACGTCCACACAAATACTATCTTTTTAGAGAAAATTCTTAAGAAACAAATGCAATACCACCAGTCGTTGCGATTTTGGACTATCGCAACGAATTTGGAATAAATCGCAATGCGAACTTGGACTATCGCAACGAATTTTGAATAAATCGCAATGCGAACTTCGACTAACGCAACGAATTTGAAAAATCGCAACGCCAACTTCGACTATCGCAAATAATTTGGAAAATCGCAACGCGAACTTCGACTATCGCAACGAATTTGGAATAAATCGCAACGCGAACTTCGACTATCGCAACGAATTTGGAAAATCGCAACGCGAACTTCGACTATCGCAACGCGAACTTGGACTATCGCAATGCGAATATGTAAATCGCATTGCGATAGTCCAAGTTCGCGTTGCGATAGTCGAAGTTCGCGTTGCGAATCTGGAAACTGATTTGCGATACCGGAGATCGCGTTGCGAATTATCGATCGCATTGCGATTTAGTTGGTCATTTTGGCAAATCAAAAATAATTGGTTAAAATCTTATATTATAAGGCATTTTTGGTCATTGAGGTTATTTTCTCTTAATTGAATTAGGTCACCGACAAATTAACTAAAAATTTTTATAATATTTTTGTTAGAATAATTTAAGTTTAATATCGACCTTTTTCAAATTAAAATATAAATTTAACGGGTTTAGTGTGTTTAAAAAATAGTTGAGTATTAATTTTTAGGGTAGAATATATAAATGGTCCCTGGATTATAAGATATTGCTTATTAAGCCCCTCAACTATTAAAATTATAAAATGATCCTCCAACTATATAATGTTGCTTTGTTGAGTCCCTTGATTATTAAAAGTTATAAAATGGTCATCCGACTATTCATTATGTTCCAAACTTTTCCTTTTCTGTTAAAAAATTGACGGTATTCTGAACTTAACGTTAACATGTTGTTTGTGATATGATAAAATCTTATTTTTAGAATCTCAAATGACTATCATATCTCAGCCATCATGTTAACGTCCAACTTAGACAATTGCCAATTTTTTAATGAAAAAGAATGAGTTTGGAACCTAATAGATACTCGAGTGACCATTTTATAACTTTTAATAGTCAAGGGACTTAACAAAGTAACATTCTATAGTTGAAGGACCATTTTGTAACTTTTAATGGTCGAGTGACTTACTAAAGCAATACCCTATAATTGGAGGACCATTTGTGTACTTTATCCTAGATTTTAATGAGTTTGAGATTTAAAATATTTTTTAAAAGTTAAAAATATGTATTTAATATATAATATGTTTAATATTTAATATTTTTTAATTTGACTAATTAATTCTTAACATAATTAATCGTTAATTGAATATTAAGAAAATTAATTATCGCCATCTAAACTAATTCGGTGACTGATCGTTTTAACTGAATTAATTTGATTGGGTCAATTAATTTGATTAATTTCGAGAAATGAACACCTCTTTCCTTCTATCTTATGCGTGGCTTAATTAAGCAAAGATGAAGAATTTTTGCTCATATTCTCCAAATGAATAAAGCCCCATTGTTCAATGCTTCACAAAACCCTAAAAACGAAACCCTTAGATTAACCCAAAATGAGTACTCCAAATTTCTATTCTTTAGCATCATCTATTTCACCATCCAAGCAGTGTAAGTGAAACCCTATAGTTCATAATAGCCTAAAGTTTATGTTAAAAATTGATTCAGATGTTGATTTTAACGTGCATAAATTCAACTTCGAATGATTGAAGTAAATTATACAAAAACGTTAAATTAAAAAAACACAATAAACAAAATAATTAAAACATTAAGCAAAAAATAATTTAATTATTTTACAAATAGGTATAGATAATGGAGCTTGCCAAGATCTTACACCACTATGATATCATAGGCTTGGGTCCCAAGATTTCATAAAATTCTCATTAAATCTTTTAAAATATTTTAAAATTTTCATTAAACACCTCAAAAATTTTAAGTTTTTTTTAATTAAGTCTCCAAATGTTTAAAAAAAATAATCAGCCTCAAAACTGAATCTTAAGATCCGCCAGCGTATAATATGAAGTGTGCTTCGTTGCGGTCGTCTTTCGGGTGGGCCCAGAATTGGGCTTCGACTTGGATGAAATGGTTAGAGTTGCCCCCAATAATTTATTTTAAGAACAAAATGGGTTGATCGGATACATTGATTTCTTACTTGATATGCATCTTATCAAATATATGTCGGATTCGAGAGTCGGTTACAGTCAAGGAATGATTGAACTGTCCTTTCGGTACTAATTAATTTCCAGTTGTCTTAATTAAGAAAATGATAAGTTAAAATAAATAGTAAAATATGATTCAAAATACTAACCTTTAATGGATTTAAAAACATACCCTTTTAAAAATTCAAGAAAGTGTTAGATGTAGTAAAATGCAGAATCAAATTAAAAAATGCATCTTGATGAATTAAAAGGAATAAAATAAAAACAAAGCAAGTAAAGGTAAATCGAATTGAAAGTAAAATAAACATAGACTATTACTACAATAAAGAAAAAAAGTAAAAAAAAAACCTAAAAGTAGCTAAATAATAAAAAAGGAAAAAAAGAAAAAGAAAAATAATAAAATAAATAAATTAAATAAAATAAAATAGAATAAGATGAAAATGAAAATAAAATAAAAAATGGAATCAAATAAAACTAAAAAAATAGAAACAAAAGAAAACGAAAAATAGAAAATAAAATTATAAAATAATATATATATATATATATATATATGTTAGGTAAAAAAATAGAATAATAAAAAGAAAAAAAGAAAAAATATCACCTAATATCCGCTTAATACCTAACCCCTCTAATCATTTCACGGGGGAAGACATTGGGTAAAGAGGGAAAAAATGGGGGGGCCTCGCAGATTATACTAAAAAAAGGAATATATATATATATATATATATATTAATAATAAAAAAAAAAAAAAAAAAAAACCATTATGATATATATATATATATATATATATATATATAACGTTAGGAAAAAACAAAATAATAATAGTGAAAAATAGTAAAAAAGATAAATATAAAAAATAAAAACATATATAATAATAAAAACATATATGTATAAATATAAAAATAAGATGTTAGAGAAAAATAATAATAATAACTTAAACAAAAAACCCAAAAAATGAATAAATAAATAAATAAAATAAATGAAATAAATAAATAAATAATATAAAAAATAAAATAAAATAATGGTATAAAATATATATACATATATAATAGAATATGATAAAAATTTAAAAAAACATGAAAATGTATAAAAGGACTAAATTAAAATAAAAAAAATAGAGGGTAAAAATTAAAAGGAAACCGTGGTTAAAATATATCCTTGAAGCAAGTGAGGGACTGAAAATGTAATTCTCCCTTTTAATTGAAAACACGTTGATCTTGGGGAGCTGGATCGGGTCACGAGTCGGGTCGGTGGGTCACTATAAAACCCAAAAAATAAAAACCCTTCTCATTTCTCCACTTTCCAAACCGATCAAGCCACATCCCCTTTTAATTTTCTCTAAAGCATTCAACATGTTTTTCATGAAAATGAAGAACACGACCACAAAACCCATATTCCAGCCGGCCACCGCCTCTCAGGCCACCATTCATCGGCAGTGGTCTCGGAGAAAAAATTAGTTTTTCAAAAGCTTTTTACCTCATCTTTTAAAAAATCAACTTTGTTTTTACAAAATCGCCTCGGGGAGGGCTAGATTTGAGATTGAAAATCCCAGTCGCCCTCCCCCTGATCATCGGCCAACTCTTTCCCGAGAGCTTTTTCGGGTCAAAAAATAAAATGAGACAACGTATGCAAGCCAAAAGACCACTGAACGAAGGTAAAAATAGTACCTTTTT